TGAACGATCGGATGTTTTGGAAATTGCCGATCGTTCAAGGTGAACGATCCCCGCGGTGTCAGGAACCAAAGCCGGGGTTGACACGACGCAAACCCGCGGTATTGTGTGGGCGCGCATCAAGAAGCCATCTAGTTTTCGTCAAGGAATCCTGGGTTTCTTCGCTCCGCCCGTTGAAGGAGCTGCTGCGCTCAGGGTGCTCCAGGTTTCCCCTCTGGTGCACTTCGCGCGCGGGTTTTCAGGGTTGGGCTTCTTGCGAGGGTTTCTTGCGGCCGCGCCGGCACCGTATCCTCAGCCACGCGCCTTGGTCCGCTCTCGGGCTAGGACTCCGAGGAGAGCCCCGCCGTGGCGAACCGCCCCCCCCCCCCCCCCACCCAGGGCCCAATGACGACGCACACGAGGGAAGGGCGACTCACTGCATCGGCACCCTCTTCCTCCTCTGACGCCCTCCCTCCCTCTCAAGCAGTGGCGATGCGTCCTGGCGTGCCTATAGGACTACCAAACAATGTTCTAAGCAATATTTCTGTGGTTTCCACGACATTGTCTCATCACATTTCTTGCTGGGACTGTCTTGTTTCAACACATTGGGTGTATGTTCTAAGAACATTGTGTTTGTTTTCAGAACATGTCTGGGTTCTAAGAACATGTCGTGGTAGGCCTGTAGAAATTCCGGGACGGTTGGTCCCTGCTCAGCCCTTCGTCCCACCCCCCAAGTCTTGGCGGCGCGCACAGGGGCACATGGTGGTTTGGGGGAAGGGGGGTGAAGACTTCTTAGAGGGAGGCTGCTTCTTGGAAGGCGCGGGCCTTGTCTGTAGATGTAGCGCTGGCTCCTTCTACGATGCCTTCCCCTTTCCCCCTACCCCCGTGTTCGCGCCGCCATATTACTCGTCACCTCCGTCTGGAATCCTCGACCTGAGCGGCATTTTGGCCATGTTGTCGGCCGGTTTTCGTTCTGATTTCGTTCTGCAGCACAGAACGAGGGAAAACGAGCACAAAACGAAAACGATAACCACTGTTTAGGTCGAGCCCTGCACACGTTTAACCTCGGGCCACGCGTGGGGCCAGGATGCATCCACGTCCACCGCCCGCCGGGGTCCCCGGACGGACGGGGGGCGTGGACAAATCCCCGTCTCCCGGCGGGGAAGTCGGCGGGGGCCATGCCAGAAACACTTCCGCGTCCTCGCCTCTTCTTTCTCCTCCTTTCTCCAACTCCTCCCTCCTCCTCCTCCTCCTCCTCCTCCTCCTCCTCCTCCTCCTCCTCCTCCTCCTCCCCCTCCTCCTCCTCCTCCTCCCTCCTCCTCTTCCCTCCTTCTCCTCCTCCTCCCCCTCCTCCTCCTCCTCCTCCTCCTCCTCCTCCTCCTCCTCCATCGACCTCGTCCCCGCCTCTCCCCTCGGCCAGAGGGCACGTGGTAGTTCACGGCCCCAGGTGGTCGTCCCACGGAGGCACGCGGCCGCGGGCGGGCAAGAGATCCCTTCCCCAGCGGCCGGGGGCCTCCGAAGCGGCGGCTCCCGAACGGGAGCCAGCCGAATTCGCGGCTTGCGTGTGCGTGTGTGTTGTTGTTGCGGTCGGGGCTGCACGCGACGTAGGAAATGTGAATTTGCGGCTCGGACGAAGGGGGTGGGAGTCTGGTCTAGATCGGGCGACAAGATCTAGTACCCACTGCCCCAGAAGGGGGGAATCTGGTTCAGATCGGGCGACTAGATCTTTTATCCACTGCCCCAGAGGGGGGGTGAGTCTGGTTCAGATCGGGCGAAGTGATCTATTACTACCCACTGCCCCAGGCCTGGCCCATCCTGGGCCCAGGAGTGGTGTGTACGCCCTCCTGGCTTGGCCAGGGAGGCAAAATGTGCACCAGTCTTGGGCCCAGGCTCGGCCAGGCCTGGGACAGCGGAGAACAGTATAGACGTTGTGGCCAGAGCAGTTAGATGGGGTTGGAGATCGCTGCGCATTGCCGATAGATCGGCGATGCGGCGCGATGCGGACTCCGCCTTTCCCCGTCCCATCGTCGCAGGTGCGCCGGCGATACGCTGCAATTCTCCAGCCCCGTCTATCCTGGCCCGTGCGGCGAGCGTATCCAGGTCCACGCCCTTGGGATCCGAATTGCGCGGCGCGGTTCCTTACGCGTTCCGCGCGGGGCATATGCGAAGAAAGGCCTAGCATCCACGCTGTCGCGGCCCCATGGCCTGGCCCGCGAGGCCGTGGATACGAACATGTTTCCTCCAACGGCAGTTGGGCGGCCTCTGTCTGGGAAAAGGCGTGGGGCGCATTCCCATGATAGTCTCCTCTGGGCGTTTTCCCCATATGTTCTGGGTGACCATGTCGTCTCGGCGGCGAGTCCAGGGGGAAGTGACGAGGGGAGGGCCTTCTCGGAAGGCTCGAACGGGGGCTCCAGTAAAGCGCAGCTTCCCACAGTGCACTCCTTTTTCCACCGCCCGTGGCCAGGTCCTCGGGGCCCCACCTCGCTAGTGCCCTCAAGACACCACATGCAGCACGTACCAGCATTCGGGGAGCTATGAGAGTAAGAAGAGGGATGTGGTAAGGAAAGCAGGTATTTGTGTTCACTTGGTAAGAGTGGGGAAGGCAAGGGGGTAACTCTTTACCCTGGGGCTCCTCTGGCCCCGCTGAGGGTCTGCAGCCAAATTGTTATGGACAGGAAGAACCAACTCAACATCGAGCAATCGACAGATCTTCCTTAATCCCACGGTGGGCCTGCCCCCCTCCGTGCTACGGGTGGGTAGCCAATGCACCGCCCCTTTGAAGGGCGTTGGCACCCAGAAGCCTTTTGTCTTCACCAGGTCCTCCGTTCTTCCCTGCCTCTTGTCTTCCCTCGACCCACCATCCTCCCTCCCTCCCCCATGCCCCCCCGCCCCTCCTGACCTCCTCCGCCCGGTCGCTCACCTCCTCCGCATGGTTGGCAGCCATTTTGCCTCAAACTTTGACTACTCCGTGCAGGGGTGAGCGCATCTGCCCTCATTGAAGCGCCCCGCCGCCCGCCGCCGCCGCCGCCGCCCTACGGCAACGAAATTTGCTCGACACGTCGCGCCGGCAGCCCTGGCCTACGCCACACTTCGGCGCCGCACGCTGCTTCAGCATTTGGGATGTCTTCGGACCTGCAGCTCGATGCGCTTTTCCGCTTCGAGCGCATCCTCGGGGGCGACACGCCATCAGTCTTCGGTGCGCCTCATGTCGCGTGGGCCGCACACGGCGCTCTGGGCAGAAAACGTCACGTCTCCGAGAGCGCCATCGGGCCAGAGCGGGTAGGCTACTCTTAGCACGGAGCCAAGATCGGCGCCACCCCAACATGCTTATATTATACGTGCGTCGCGCTCCCAGGGGCGACGCGCGCACCAAGAAATATTGTAGTATATGCGTCGCGGCGGGCGCTTTCTGGCCACATGGCTCGGAAAACTATATACTGCAAGATGTGTAGACTACATGTTCGGGTCGGACGCGCGCCTCCGAGGAGGACATGTAGTAGTAGTAGTAGTAGTAGTAGTAGTAGTAGTAGTAGTAGTAGTAATACTAGTACTAGTACTAGTACTAGTACTAGTACTAGT